CCAAATCCCTTGTTCTGTTGCAGATAGGATATGGGAGGGAAAGACATCGTCCATGGTGCAGGTTAGTCTCTTGTCGGTTTGGGGAAGAGGTTGGAGGCTGGTTTACACGTCCGGTTACCCTTGTGGGAGGAGTAGGGATGTGGAAGTCTATTCGGAAGGGTTGTGATGCCTTTTCTACTCATATCAGATTCAAAGTCTGTGATGGACGTCGCACTCGGTTTTGGGAAGATCTTTGGTGTGGTGATTAGCCACTATCTCGTACATTTCCTAGATTATTCAGTATTGCAATTGATAAACACGCTTACGTAGTTGACTGTTATCAGCTTGATAGCAGCGGGATTACGTTGGATGTGCATTTTCGGCGCTCTTTTCAGGATTGGGAGATGGATGAGGTTTGTGTTTTTCTGGATCTTCTGTATCGGCAGGAGGGTGTTGGCAGAGATAATGACGATTTGATTTGGGTTCCTTCTTCCCATGGTCGTTTCGAAGTTAGATCCTTGTTCTTATGTTTGTCTAATTTTGATAATCGAGACTTCTTGTGGAAAACTATTTGGCTGTCCATGGCTCCAACTAGGGTGGCTTACTTTATCTGGACAGCTGTTTGGGGAAAGATTCTAGCAATTGATAATTTGAGGAAAAGAGGCAATTGTATTGTTAATCGGTGTTGTCTATACAAGAATGATGAGGAGTCAGTTGATCACCTCTTTATGCATTGCCGTGTGGCGAACGATTGTTGGAATCTTATTGTTGGGTTGTTTGGCATGTGTTAGGTAATGCCACGATCTACTAAGGAATTAATCCATGTTTGGAGAGGATGTCGTGTGAAAAGAGATGTATGCGATTTCTGGAGAATTGTCCCACATTGTGTATGGTGGTGCATTTGGAAGGAGAGAAATAACAGAATGTTCGAAGGGAAAGAGTCGCATACGGCAATGGTGAAACTTTACATTCTTCATTCTCTTTTCAATTATGTGAGTTCCTCTTCTGAAGATTTAGTTACTTTCTTGGATTCTTTGGGGCCTTAGTCCCGGTTCCACTTCTGTAATTGGGACGCGTTCCCCTCTTCAACGCCTTTTTTGAATGTTATTATTACGTATCCAAAAATAAAAAAATAAAAAATAAATAAAAGAGAGTTAATAGTACTAAATCATGATATTTTAGTGGATAACTAGAAATACAAGTGAACGGTAAGAAACTGATGCTTTCATGAAAAGTAGAAAGTAGCATCATTAGTGTATCAAAAAATGGGAAATTTCAAGGGAAAATTACATATAAATGGAGTCAAAGTTCCATATTTACTTAGAGGCTGAGTCAAAGTTCCATATTTCTCTAAAATGGATTGCTGAGGTGGCACATGGTTTTTTACTGTTTAGAAATTGTGGTGCCTAAAATACCCTTCCGCGAAGGTACTACTTTTTCTTCGAAAGTAGTACTTTTTTGAACTGAATGTACTACTTTTTAGCGTCCAGGTACCATGTTTTTTAAACACCCGCGAAGGTACTACTTTTTCTCCGAAGGTACTACTTTTTTGAACTGAAGGCGCTACTTTTTTGAACTGAAGGTACTACTTTTTTATTAGGGAAGGGCATTTTAGGCACCACAATTTTCTAAACAGTAAAAAACCATGTGCCACCTCAGCAATTCATTTTAGAGAAATATGAAATTTTGACTCAGTCTCTAAGTAAATATGGAACTTTCACTCCATTTATATGTAATTTTCCCAAATTTCAAAACATGGTTTGAGCTGTGCCGTGCGGAAGTGGTGAGTTAATTTAGTGTAATTTGCTGAAGGGGGTGGGGTTGAATAGGTCTTCTTGCACAATTTTTGTCACTAATTAAATTACCAAGTTAATCAACAATTAAATCCACAATTCCACACCAATTAAGGAGAGAACACTGACTTTTTTACATGGAAAAACCCCAGCGAAGAAAAAACCAAGGGACTATTGTGTGGAGCAAAGCAATCCACTACTATATCGAAGCTCAGACTCGCCCCCACTACATTTTGCCAAGACCTAGTTGCCGAACGTCTTAGAGGAGTCCAAATCCTAGTGAAAATCGACTTCCAGTGAAACCTAGAACCGGTTCTAAAATATGCCCAACCGGTTCTGGAGCATTCTAGAGCTTTCTGAGAAATGTCCAATTGGTTCTACTTGCTTCTGAAAAAAATTTCCGACGATTGTGCGGAAAGTCCATTTTCTCAAACTTTGTTGAGAGGTCAAACAAACTTGAAATTAAGCAAATAATATATCATTGAAATGCTTATCGAGTCTATTTTCTGGGCATATAAAAATCATCTCAAAACTCCAAGTATGGAATGATTTATTGTAAAAAGAAAACAGATATGTCAGAAATTGATTGAATACAACACCCTATATGTCGGAAATTGATTGAAAACAACACCCTTTGTGGATATTGTTTCAAGACCTGCTCAAATCTTTTTTTTTGGGAAAACATTTAGAAACCTTTTTCAAAACCCATTTAAGATAAAATCCTACAGTCTCTAAGGTCTTCCTTACCTTTTACCTAATGTGATTGAGTATAATGGAGCACCTTGTTGAGATATTCCGATATAGCCTACATCCCATGTTACATGGACACTCGGGCACGGGTGTCGGACATGGGTGTGTATCCATGAGTCGGATGTGTCAAATCTCCAAACAGAAGGACACACGGACACGGCTAAATATTCATTTTATTAATTATTTTATGTTATTTTCTAGACTAAAGTAATGTTTTTATTCAATATAATGTTCAATATAGGCATTTAACTCATTTTAAAGTAATAATATAATGAAATTGAATGATTAGCTGTAGGGCTGCAACTTGGGTGGGCTAACCCAGCCCAGCCCAGCCCAACCCCAACCCATAAATTTTGAAATTTGGACATACAATTCACAAATCGGGTTCATGTTTGGATTGGGTTTTGTCAAAATCCATACAAATTCGGGTTGGGCTCGGGCTCAACCTGAACCCAACCCGAAACCCAAAATTAATTTTTTTTTTTTTCTCCTTTCTCTCTCCTCTCTCTTCTTTCTCTTTCTCTCTCTGCCGCCGTCGCCGGCGTCGCTCTCCCTCAGCCACCGTCGATCCAGATCTCGAAGAACCTTCCAGATCTCGGAGAAGAGAAGGAGAACAAAGAAATAGGGTTGGTGGTGTTCTTCAAATCTGCCATTAAAGAACCTTCCAGATCTCAGAGAAGAGAAAGAGAGACTTCTCAGAATACTTTGTCTTTGTGAAGAAGTTGTGGTGTGATAGAGAGGCCTGGAGAAGAAAAAGTATGGGTTTTGATTTTTTGAACAATCTGAAATGATATGCCGATATGGGTTTTAATATAGATAATAGGTTTTGAACTTTTGATTCTTGCAGACAGCTAGATAAACTGAAATATATGGGTTTTGAACTTCTGATTCTTGTTGATTTTGTTGTTTGTACTTGCACAGAGAAAGAGATAGAGGGGGCTTTCACAGGTGAGAACGAGAATAGAGATGAGGGATTGGGGAGGCAGATATGATTTGCCCTAAAAATATATATATCTTTTTAATAATAATATAATCAAAATATATATAATATACATATATATATATAAAATATAATATAATATATATAAATTTCTGGAAAAAATTATATATTAAAAAAAAAAAAACTCAACCCGTCAACCCGACCCAACCCGTCCGAAAACATTCAGTTCGGGTTATGACCACAACCCATATTAGATACAATTCGGGCTAACCCAACCCAACCCGATTCAGGTTGAGGTTGGGTTAAGGCTGGGCTGGGTTGGGCCAACCCAACTTATAGTCCTAATTAGCTGTGCTTTTTATGTACATGTCTAACCAAAAGTGTTGGACACATATCCCATACCCATGTCCGAGGGATATGTGTCCGACACGGGTACTTCACTACTTTTGAAGAGTCCATGTAACAAAGCCTACATCTCCATGTATGAGCTTTAACGACACAGCTATGACAAATCGTCTAGCATACACAGACAACATCGGCATACACGTTCACTATAGCACTCAAAACACGACTTTGGAACGGAATTTGCCAACATACAAATTTTACTCTCATAGGTTTGGCCTTGTTTCATAAACGTAATGAATGCTTTCTAAGTCAAGTTGAGGTGCATAGAGGTTAAGGGGGTTAAAAAGCTCATGGGTTAAGGCTGTGAGTGTGTAGACATTGTGGTGGAAAGTTAAATGGAGGTTATGGCTCTAGACAAGAGTATGTGCTAAAATATTGATGTACACAATGCCAATAATTCAAGAATAGGGATTCCTTGTGATAGTGTGTTGCAAATATCTAGTTTAAAAGTAACTTCTTGATATGTTCTAAAATTTCACGTGGCAGATGATTTTAGGGCATTGAAGGATGGCTGATGTTGCTACTTTTACCAACACAAGGTTTCTAATGATGATGAAAGGGGGGATAAATTATCTTAGTGACTATATTATGTACTAATGCGACAGACGAAGCACAATTTGACATGATCTTTGACTTATCAAAAAAAAAATTTGAGATGATCTTTGGATCATATATGATTGTGATGGGCTTTCAATTGCATTTTATGAGTGAACAAACTAGAATTTTGTTTTATTTACTTATTTATTTTTCTGAAAACAGCCTTCCAAATTTAATACATTAATACAACGAAGCTGCTCTTTCTTTTTGCGTTGCCATTGATGTTGCTGTGAATTTTCTTTCGCTACTTTTGTTTTCCCTAGTACCAGTGCTAGAAGTAAATAATCTTCAAAAGTTTGATGTTGTACTTGGTATATATGATCTTATTTGAATTAGCATCTGCTTGGGAAGTATTTAATGGATTTTAATACTGAATGCAAGGGAGCCTACAATTTTCTATGTTACACATGATCTTCATTACCCATACCGTTTTGTGATGAAATTTTCAGCCTTTGTTATTGGGTTAGGGTTTCTGAAAATGTTTTTATTATCACATGACTTGAGGATTTCTGACTGAATCTTGTGTTTATTTTCAGTTCCTAGGAATTTTAGATTACTAGAAGAGCTCGAGAGAGGGGAAAAGGGAATTGGGGATGGAACTGTCAGCTACGGAATGGATGATGCTGATGATATATACATGCAGTCATGGACTGGAACTATCATTGGTCCTCCTAATGCAAGTTTTGCTTTTGCACTCTATCCATTAAATATTTATTTACTTTTGATATAACTATTGGGGTTTTTGTAATGCTCTGAGGCTCATGTTCTGCACTAATAGATAATATATTACTCCCTCTGTCCCAAAATAGATGACCACTTTGGGAATTGTGACTCACATGTGAGTAATGTCCCAAAGTGGTCATCTATTTTGGGACGGAGGGAGTAATCAAAATCGCAATATCTTTTGGACACTTAAATAAACGATTTCTGAGAAATTAGAAGTCTTGCACTTCCGATGAATTAAAATCTTAAAATCTGTGGGACAATCAACGAATTGTGAGAAATTAAAATCTTTCACTTCCAAAGAACTGAGCATAAAGACTGGAGAACGAAATCTAATTATATGCTTAAATCGTCTGGTGGTGGGGGCCCAAGCTCGGGATTTTTGGAGGGTTGCACCCTTATGCGTCTGGTGGTGTTTATGGTTAGATGTCCAAAATGCTTCTATCCATGATATTGTGTCCTAATTTGTTTCTATTGTAATTTCATTGTATTGGAAGTGGGTCTTCTCTATTGTTGACCTCTTCCTTTTCTTCTATGGATTCTGAGGGTATGCCTTCTCTGCACCTGTACTATTTTTTTTGCTCTTAATACAAACCTCATTTATGAAAAAAAGAAAGAGGAATAGGAGATCTTTGGAAGGAAAGGAGACTTCTATTTGGAATTCTTAAGTTCTCTATTATTAACACCCTTTTTGTTGGGTTTTAGGGAGAAATTGTAATTCTATGGAGGAAATTGTGGTATTTTGGGCTCTGAGTGTTTAGAGGCCCTATTTGGCCTTGTGTTTCTTTTGTAGGATGCGTCCCCCTTTTGGGCGATTTAATACAATCTTACTTATCAAAAAAAAAAAAAAAAAATTGCTTAAATCGAGATGGATTGGAATGGTTAATACAGTAATGGATTTGGGGCCATTGCTGGTAATACCTTAAACTTAACTCACAAATGATGAAATCACATTCTCTCTCTCTTGTCTTTAGCATGAAAATCTGTCAACTTGGTCCATAACCATTAAATGATAATGCTCTTAACTTTTATACCATCTTTATCTTGTTGCCAGAGTTATTTTCTGCTTCCTTTTCATATGTTCAAAACCAATAACCAAAACCTTGAGCCCTCTGTATTTTGAGTGATATCTATTTTGGCTTTGGATTGCTGATGGCATTTCTGTTCTCTAGACAATTAAGCTAAAAAGAAACAGAATAAATTTTTATTGTTGAGCAAGACAGGCATATAATGCCACAACAGCAAGCTTTAGTTACAATCTTTCCTTTTGACACAGTTGCTTTTGCCACTTATCTAAAGGGTTAAAACAAGAAAAAAAAAAAAAGACAAAAGAAAAAGGACAGTTTCTTTTTTCAGGTTTTAATTTAATTTTTATTTTTATCCATTTAAGAACTTGATGATTTTTATGATTGCACGGTACTATTCTATATATTGATGGAGGGAACTTGATGTTTTTTTTGTTGATTTTTGCTGCTTGCCAGACTGTTCATGAAGGGCGAATCTACCAGTTGAAACTATTCTGTGGTATGGATTATCCAGATAAGCCGCCAACCGTGAGGTTCCAAAGCCGGATAAACATGACCTGTGTAAATCAGGAAACTGGAGTGGTAGGTGTAATAATAATTCAAAAACATTGTATGCTGTGACATGGTGGAAATAATCTTATGGGTGCCCAAATGCCAGGTTGAGCCAAATCTTTTCCCCATGCTTGCTGATTGGCAAAGGGAGTGCACAATGGAGGATATATTAACTCAACTGAAGAAAGTAATGATGTCTCCCCAGAATCGGAAACTAGCTCAGCCCCCTGAAGGTGTGTCATTTTACTTTTGAGCTATTGGCATTTTTCTTTCCTATCTATCAACTCTTAGTGAAAGAAAATAAGATTTGTAAAATATCTCTTTGATGCTATGTTAGTTGACATTTCTTAGAGGACTTGGTTGTCTAATGTGAGCTTGGTAGACTTAAAGAGAATTATCTTAAGACAAGGAGAAAAGGTGAAGAGAATTTGAAGTGTTATAATTCTTATGTATGGCAATCACAGGACAATTTTGCTACCAACCTGAAAAGCAGGCTTTTCCCGATATGATTAGAATAAGCCTTGCCAGTTCCAACCTCTGGCTAATGGTTATGGCCTCTCCCTTATTGTTAAATGGCATCTTCATGCACACTCAGATGGTTTAAGAGTGAAACTTTGTGGAATTATGGCACTTGCTATGTTTTCTTCACTTTTGTTTAATTCTTCATCTTTTAATTTTCAAACTGCTATTAAAAAGAAAAATGCCCAGCCATTTTCTTGGTACAAGTAAAGCTTATAAATGCCTACTGTTTCTTTGATGTGCTAGTTGGGAACAATAACTTGATTAAGATTAACTCGGTAAATTTCTTTGTTTTCAGGCAATGAAGAGGCAAGGATGGATCAAAAGGGTCTAGTGCTGAAGTGCTGTATCCTCTGATGGAAGAGCTGAACGTGTAATGTATATAACTATATCGTTTAGACAATTCCAGTTTCTGGGTTAGTTTCTTCACTAAATATATATGCTTGTATAAGAAAAGTGGACCTGATTAAACAGATCAATTCTCAAATCCTAGAATTGATAGTTATTTAATGTTTTAATTGTAAAAGGTTGCTGAATAAGTTGAACTCTCAAATGAATCAATGTTATATTTCGAAATTTTCTGAAATTTGTTGTCCGATACTACTAGACAAGATTGGACTCAGAAGACAAATGTATTTTAGGCATAAACGGTGCCGGTTCTTTGGCTAGCAATCGTAGGTGGTTTTCTTAATCTTTGATAGTTGATGTTCTTTATATTGTTTTTGTTGACGAAATAATTCGAACAATTTTATGCAGGTTAAGGTTAAGACTGCTTCTAAACTTTTCCTTTGATCATCCTGCTTAAACAGGAGTTGCACTGAATTTTGGTAATGAAATGGTAGCCTTTCATTGTGCTTAGATCTCATCCACAATGGCTTGCCTTTAAATTTCATTGGTTTGGAGGGTATTTTGGTCTTTCTAGTGTTAAATCATTTAGCATAAATTAATCAAACTGTTTATTAACTAACGTAAAAATGGAATTGATCCTTAATTAACTTTTAAACAGAATTAGGTTAAAGTGCTGGAAAAATTATGATACCTACATCAAAATGGAAAAATGATTGTAGGCGTTTTTCTTGGTAACTAAGATCAAGAGGATAACGTGGAGATATCAAACACAAATGTGAGGATCTAGAGAGAATCCTGGATGAAAGAGAAGTAGACTAACCAATGAGATTCATGGTGAAGGTAGACATGTTTGCCTTATGTTTCAATGAATTCAATTTTTGTCGTTCTCTTTAATGGTTGGTCTAATGGCTGTACTTATCGTCTAAAGTAGCTGGATAATACCAATGGTCTTCCTTGAGATTAGTCTTTTAACCAAGGCCTACCTTGATAGGTCATGATACCAACGGTCTTCCTCGATATTAGTATTTTAACTAAGGCCTACCTTGACAGGTCGTGATACCAACGGTCTTTTTCGAGATTAGCCTTTTAACCAAGGCCTATCTCGATAGGTTATGATACCAACGGCCTTCCTTGAAATTAGCCTTAATCGGTTATGATACCAACGATCTACTTCGAGATTAGTCTTTTAACCAAGGCCTACCTCAATAGGTTATGTTGGTCTACCTCGATACGTCATGATGGCCTCAATTGGCGTGGTTTGTTAGCAATGCAAACATTAAAAGCATTTGGCGCTCAATAACGGCCGTACTTGAGAACATTAATTGTGATTGCAAGGGTCTCTGTCAAGGCATGTGGTCTACCATTCCTTTGGCTAGACCTATTATCCATGCTGTATCCCAGAAGCTAGTGGTGGTTACTCGAGAAGATCCTACATGTTTCTCAACATGGACCCCCGAGGACTATGTAACGAGGTTTGATAACTTGTCATGATGCCAGGTTTTTTTTATATCCTTCCAAGTATCCCAGAATCTAGTAGTAGAATCTAGTAGTGGTTATTCGAGAAGATCCTACATGTTTCTCAACATGGACTCTGAGGATTATGTCACGAGGTTTGGTAACCTATCATGATGCTAGGTTTTTTTATTTAAGTTCGAAGGTTATGACTTCGATTCTTACTGGCCTGGTATAGTTCTAGGATTTGGTTCTGACTCAAACATTATTCCCTCAAAGATATACTCCCTGCGTCCCTAGATGGTTTGTTAGCATGTCCTGATGTTAGGATTTTACTTAATTTGCATTTTTTGAAATGACATGGCGTATTTCCAAAACTTTTGGCTTTCCAAATAGCCACGTGATGCTCTCGTGAGTTTATCCTTAGGTGCCATGTGGGTTGTGCTTGACTCAACGTGTCACGTGACTAACACTCATTGACACCTACCAAATTGATGTAAATGTACCATATATACTTTTTCTTTTTTTTTAGGTAAAATGTACCATATATACTTGATCATGAAATGAATGAAGGAAAGTGGAGTTTATTTATAAAACAATAAATTGAGCTCAAATTTATGTCAAGTAACCCATAGTGGGGCCTACCTGAGGAAGCAACCAGGAAATTACCTCAATTTGTGTGTTTTGGATATTACTATTATCTCAACAGCTGAGAAGCTGAGGTTGTCGTTATTTGACCCCATGTGTTACATAGAATTATTAGCATCTTACTTAAATGTCGTTATTCTCTCTCACCAGTCACTTTCAAATCTTGTACAACATTTTTTTTTTTCTAACACCAATTTACAAACAATTAATCATTATAACGCCATTCGAATGAATAATTAATTATTAGTATTAAGAAAGACCATTTCATAAGAAGGTCAAGAAAGTGAGAGAGACAGTTAATCATTATAACGCCATTCGAATGAATAATTAATTATTAGTATTAAGAAAGACCATTTCATAAGAAGGTCAAGAAAGTGAGAAAGACAGTTTGTAGATTTTATTAATAATACATGAAAAGTGTTGATGATATTTTAGTGCTCCGGTACTGAGCAAGACTACTCGCCCCAAACTCCATAAAAGTTGCCCACAATCATGTCCCAATAGTGGAGGAGCGAGGTAAGGAGTCTCCATCCTTTGCAGTACCGCAATTAAATTGTATTTTAATATATTTATTTTAAATTTAATACATAAAATTAATGTATTAAAACATGAATTAATGAAGTATGATGTTATACGAGTGATAAAAGGGTCAGGGTGCCCGTACCATATTAAATCCCTTCAACTAACTACTAATCATTTTCAAGAACCTTTTTCATTCGTAGCCAATCAAAAAATGCTTCTGTTCCGTACTTAGGTTGATTTCATGACTAAAAAAATAAAAATCACAAATTAATAGTGTTAAAACTAAAAAGAGATTTTAAATACTTTTTTATCGTTAGGCCATTAACCCGTTGGTATTTTTTTTAAATACACTTAAAACATGATTAAAGTGCGTTAAAAATATATGTAGCTCACTCGTGCTACAAAATATATATGATGGTTATTGGACTTATAATGATGACTCAGGACCTCTAAATGAGAGACGGGTCCGTATAACACTTGAGTTGCACGTCAAAACAAACATTCCAATTGTTTTGGCTAGCTTAAGTGATTTATGAAAAAATGAGTCAACTTAAAAGAAAAGAAAAAAAATATATCTATAAATAAGTTGAAGTAGCTGTTTAGACTACAAGCAGTAATTGTCGTGTTTAAAATCCACCATTATTATTTCCATTTTCATAGCAATTGTCGTGTTTAAAATCCACCATTATTATTTCCATTTTCATTTATAGTGCCAAAATATTGTATTTAAACAATTTTGTTTTAATAGTATATTTTATTCAAAATGCTATATGTATCAGAAAATAAATTCTCTTATATTTTAAGTTTGAGAGGACATTTGAGAGAGGTATTGGGGACGCACTAACCCGACTAACATTGCCAAATTAAATTAAAAAAAAAAAAAAACTACAAGCAATTTTTTTTTTATTTTAATCACTTCTGTAATTTTTTTTTTAGTAATTTGTGCAATTGACTCACGTTATTCCTTAAATTTTTCCTCCTTATTCAATTTATTCTTCTCAACGCTCTTCAGCCAATCATACCCTCCACTTCTAGTTAAAAAAAAGAATAAAAAACTATAGGAGCAATTTCCATTGAAAATACTACTCCGTATGTGGTGTCAGTGGTGATGATTATTATTATTCTTTGAAAGTTTTAATACAATTAATGAGCACACAATTATACAGAAGTTAAGCCAATCATAATAATATGCTAATTTCAGTATTAAGTACAATTGATTTTTATTTTATTTTATTTTTTTAACAACTACAAATGGAATGAATGTTAACCCCACTCTTTTTAGATGGCCTGACTACTCTTCAGGGACAGGATTCAAACTAATTTTACTTTCACAGGAGCTTCATGTTAATTGGCCCCTCTAACAAACAAACATAAATTTTTTTTAGGATCGAGAGGTGTGAATCTAGATTTCAATGATGGATTCACATCTATGTCTCATAGTCGACTATCGAGTGTTGATCAATGTAACACAATTCAAAATTATATAATATGGTCTCTAGTGATAGAATTCATATCCATATTGATTGATTGTTCCGTATCGACAAGTGTAGCACGATCCAAAATTTATACTCCATTTATTTTATTTTAATTTTCAAATTATTAAGTTGTCTTTTAAACTTTAATATATAAAATACAAGTTACAAGATTCTTAAAAGATTAAAAGAGTAATTATGAATCAAGTCATGCGCAAGTAGGCATTGACAGTGGCGACTAGGGTTTTGAGAAATACTTTTAGGACATTTGTGATTGTAATCGTGTCTAATTCCATTTAAAGGAATCCTAATGACAACTAGCACACACTGTGTGACAGTTAATTGCTCATTACACAAAATTCTTTTTAACACGTTTTGGCAATTATTGGTGTAGTTAGTCTTAAAGCATTCTCGAATCTAGAAATTAAGCAAAAAGTTAATGCTTTTTCACATGAAAATGTCTCCTAAATTCTTGATGGATTTACTCCCCCTTTTTTTTTTTTTGGGATAAAAAGGAAACTGAATTATCTAAACATTTGACATAAACGTTATATAAGGAAAATTATAAAAAAAAAAAAAAAAGAACTTTACAACGTCTTATTACTTAGAGATGGAGTCAAAGTCAATACTTTTCAAAGTCATAAAATTTGACCAAAGTATGATGTGGACATGAAAAATACTATTCATTTTCCAAACTATTTTTAATATCTTCGGGTACCACTTTTGTGCATGTGAGAACTACTTTTGTGCACAAATGTATTACTAATTTTGTTCATAGAAGTACCACTCGTGGTTAAATGTATCACTCTTGTAATTAAAAGTACCATTCTTGTGTGTAGAGGTACCACTTTTATATAGAGGTAAGTACCACTATTGTGCATATAAGTAATATTTTTGTACATGTAAGTACTACTTTTGTGCACAGAGGTATCACTTTTGTGTACACAAGTACCATTTTTATGTAGGTAAGTAACACTCTTTTACAGAGGTATCACATGTGTGCATGTAAGTACCACTTTTGTGCACAAAAATACCACTTTTGTGCACAAAAATACCACTTTTTGTACAGACCATTTTGATAACTTGGTTTATACAAAAATGGTACATGTGTGCACAAAAGTGGTACCTCTATACACAATAATAATACATAAATGCGAAAAATGTGGTACTAGAAATACTATAGGTAATTTGGACAAATGAATAATATTTTATCAGATTTTGGTCAAAGTTCATTACTTTGAAAATATTGACTTTAACTCAATTTCCAGATGATAATATCTCATAAAATCCACTTTTATATAATTCCCCTCCCCCCCCCCCCCCCAAAAAAAAAAAAAAAATCATTTTTCTTCTCATATTCTTATGTAATACGTTGAGAGGATGACATCTAATTGTAGTAATTTTTTTTTTTTTTTTGCAAATTTGTACATAAAGGCACAATTGTTATTTGTTCACATCACTTATGGATAAAGAAACCATTGGTTTTCATTGTTGTTACCATTTTTTTTTGGATATTTTGCTTATGAGTCACTGTACGCTATAACAGCTGGGCAGCAAGCCAATGCTTTAAATTGACGCGTGTACAGACAACTACATATATATATATATATATATACACCCACACACACACAAATAAGCACATATATAGTTTGTCTGTTCCACTTGCTAGTTACTTTGCAGTAGTATATATAGTAGAGCAGTGTGGAGCCAAAGCTCAAGTAAAGCAAAACCCTTTGGCTCCATTATTTCAAGGAAAATTTGGGTTTCCAATAATTTTCCATACCCCTCTCTCTCTCTGCAATTTTGGAGTCAAGAATTTTCGCTCTCTACAATCAAGAAACCATTCATGGGCTCGTTAACTGTTGATTCCAAGAACACTACTGAACACCAGGGTATGTGTATTCTCTTCTTCAAGTTCAATTTGATTCTTCAGAAAGTAATGATTTTTATGGGAAAAAAAAAAAAAAAAAAATTGGGTATGCAGGAGTGGATGTTCAAGAGAATGTTCTGCAGAAACATGTTGCTTTCTTCGATCGGGACAAAGATGGAATCATTTATCCATGGGAGACTTTTCAAGGTTTTACTATTTTTTTTTTTAATTTTTTTTTTAGTCTATAAAAGTGAAATTAGTTCATATTTTCTTATTTTGTTGTTCAGAATTTATGTGGGTTTGATTGGGATTTTACTTTTACATAATAGGTTTTCGTGCAATTGGATGTGGATATTTCTTGTCCTCTTTCGCTGCCATTTTCATCAATGCTGGACTCAGTGGCAAAACTCGTCCTGTAATAATTCTCTCTCTCCATACACACACATATAAAGAAACAAACACACACTTCATTCTCTTGTTTTCTGGGTTTTGCTTGTTTCTTTTTTATTATTATAATTTACTACATAGTTTAGCTTGGATTTATTTATTAGAAAGAGAATCTGAGCTTGTGTCACATTCCATCTCTCCTCAGGGAGATGTAGTAGACATTAATTCGCGTGTAGATGCGTTTTGAAAATTGTGAGCGCGCTTAGTCAGGCCAACGAGGACCCTAGTTCCAAAAGGGAGATACTCCTTAGATGCATAGAAACTCCACGGCGTGGGATCCCTACCTATTCCTAACCCATCCCAAAAAATGGATGCCAGAAAGGTGTTTAATTAAATTTAAAATTTGATTACCATTGAATTAATAGTATTTAATAGAAAAGTTGTTTCGTATTAGGTACAAAGGAGTTCACATGGTCAATTTTTTACTATTCTTTGTCTGACTCCTGGTGTGTGCTTTCTTGTTCCTTTTTCAATATTGATATTTATGCTATGTATGTAATATTATAATTTTTTTACATGGCTAGTTTGGCTTGGATTTATTAGGAAGACAATCTGAGCTTGGCTATCTTTCCTAACCTCCCATCACCTCACTTTCTACAAGCCAAGAGTTCGAATCTCCTTGAAATCACCCCAGGGAATTTTCTCGTCAATTGCATCCATGTGGGATGTTTGGTGGTGGATTATGGGACGGTAGACAAGGCTTGACACCATCATCATTGACACAACAAAATAAAAATAAAAATAAAAATAAAGGAAATTGGAAAAACACATTGTTGCCAAAAACATGTTTAGTTACTTTAAGAATTTGATTACCATTAAATTAAAAAAAGTTATTTAGTAACAAGCAAAAAAGAGATCATATGGTCATCTTTTTCTATCCTTAGTCTGTCTTCTGGATTTTTGCTTTCTGGTTCCTTTTTTAATATTGTTATTATGCTATATGTTTATCTCTCTGAGTTTGTCTGCCATCATTCCTAATAGCACGCCAATAAATAAAAGGAAAATGGGAAAGCATACAGATTCCAAAAACATGTTTAGTTAAATGATAAATTGGATTACCATTAAACTAATAATATTTAAAAGAAAAGTTATTTAGTAATGAACACAAAAGAGGTCAAATTGTCATCTTTATTTCTATTGTTAGTCTATAGGTTCTGGAATTTGGTAGCATCTGTTTGTCCCTCCATTAGTCACATATGCATTGTGCATAAATTATTGTCTCGTTGCCACCATTTTATAATCCATCAATTGCATTGCACATGTTGATCAAGACATGGACCCCAATTAGAAGTGAAAAATAATCAATTTAATTAGCGAGGCGATTGTTTAGGAAGTGCTTACGGACAATTATACCAACTGTTTTTATATTCATATTTCACAACAATCAATGCTTCTTTGACGACATAGACAACCTGTGGTTTATTAAAAAAACAGAAGAAAAAAGAAATGCTTTATTTGGCTTTCTTTTTGTGCTTACAATGACACGTGCTTATCTATTGAGTGGAAAATATGGGCATTGCTTAATCAGCGCATTGGATTTGAGTCAACATTATTTTTCTCGCATAAATAATATTTGTACTTGCAATATTTAGAAAAATAATATTTATGAAACTTAAAAGTTATTTTGAATTTGCTGAGAGAAAAGATAATAATAAAAATGTATCTTTTTTTTTTTTTTTTTTGGGTGAAGAATAATGATGTATCTTCAAAATAAATAAATATTTGTTTACTAATATGAATGAATGGTAATATAAGTTCAGTGTAGATTTTTGAATGGTAAGTCTCAGTCTTGGACCCACCTATAAACATTAGTTTTAAATCTTGTCCTGTTTAAATTAAATTATTAGCAATTGGATTAAGATTATTCCATTATGTACAAGCTATAGTTTTATTTTTCTTGTTCTTTTTGGTCTATTGTTGTCTGTTTTGATCAATACAGTAAATCTCAGAAAATTGACTGGAATCTCTGTCTTCGTTTGATTTTATTCTTTTTCGGCATTTCTAAGATCATTATTTTACAACATTTTTGGTGGAACAACTTTGATGGGTCTTTAAATCTCTTCTTTCTGCATAAGACAACTCCTCGGCAGGCACGGATCCAATGAAGGACCAGTGGGGGCAATTTTTTTTGGATTTCATACCTACTAATTTTGTTTTGTTGATTAATTTAAATTTTGCCAACACCTAACACCCCCCCCCCCCCCCCCCCCCCCCCTACAAAAGAAAAAAAAAAAAATAAAATAAAAAAATTATAGAAAAACTTCACTATTGCCCCCACAATATTTTTTTTGTTAAAAGTCGCCTGCACTCAAATAATTCTCTGGGTCCGTCACTGCTCCTCAGTACATGTGGGCTTCAAGGCTTGTGATGTTCTGAAATTTCAAGGAAAGGGAGAAGGAGAGGAAGATACAATATTTTTTGCATTCTTTCATAATGAAATGACTAAAAAATTACCTAAAAGAATGTGATAAATTTTGTTAGTACCTAACTCCATACAATCCAAATTTACCAAAAACTGAGTTGGGTGATGATTTGCCTTGGTGGCACAGCAGTTAGAACGAAACCGTGTTTGATGCTCTGATGAGATAACCTTTATCAATTGTTTCTTCTTCCCGTATTCTTTACCTGACGAAAAATATGATGTCTTTTGGGTTTAACTGCAGTCAGGCTTATTCTGTTGGCAATGTACATAGTTGAATTGTATCTCTCTTTTTGTAGTGAAGACCTTTGATACTAACAATGGCGTGAGCTGCAAGTTCCTTTTCATAAAGATGAGCAATTAATTATAAGTGATAATTAACTAACACATGCTTTTACCAATTCTCAATGGTGCAGGGAAAATTCCCTTCTCTGCTCTTCCCAATTGAGATTAAGAACATCCAGAGAGCCAAGCATGGGAGTGACTCTGGTGTCTACGACTCTGAAGGAAGGTACATATGTATCCACTTTCACACTATACTCTATCTACACATTTTTGCATACAATTAGTGAGGATATGACTGCTAAACCTCTCAGAAAATTGATTCCTTTGATATTTTAGGTCATTATTGTCTTATTTCCCCTGTTCAATGGAAATTTGCCTCAACAATCTATTCAATTAAACATTGACTTTTATTTCTTTATTTTTTTGGGCCTTGGCAAGTAACTCACATACCTACTTTGACCTACGGGGGCTCAAGCCTTCAACCTTCCACTTTAGAAGATAGAAGAAATACCACCATGCTAAAACCTTTTGTGGCAATTGAACATCAATTTAACTGTACAAATATGGCAGTTATGCCAATAAATAATTTTTTTTGCAGAACAATAGATTTTGATTGGATAATTGGATATATAATGTAAACTTGATTTAAGTAATGGACTGTATACGTAGAATGTTTTTATGTAAACTTGTTATTGGAAAAGTTTTAATCTAAATGGTATTTTGATGTTTGTTTATGTTAATTTCGGTCGGTCATTTGTGTCTTAACATGTCACATTGTTTATACCCTATTCTTTCATAGTATTTTTGCTGAGGCAGTTGGATATCACTTTTCAAGCAAATAGTTTTGTTCTTTTTCTGTCAAACTTTGCTAATGAGATAATGTCATTTTGCATTAATCAGTGCAATTGCTATAACAACCGTTTAAGCCAATCCTTTATATTCATATGCCTTTTGAACTTTTCAAAAAAAATATAATCATATGCCTTTTGAGGTTGGTGTGTAGGGTCAAAAGAACACCTAAATTGAGAGGCAAATGCGCAAGACCAAGAACCAAGCAAATCAAAATGTTCTTGATCATTTTTTATTCACTTGTTACCTTCTTATTTTCTTTCCAGCTTGGTTAGCTTACATGCATCTTTTCAGTTGTCAACTTTAGTTTTCAAAGTACTGCCTCAGAACCACCCAACTTTAGGGTCTACCCCCAAATTCTATCTGTTCAATTATAGTCTTGGGCAGTTGACCCTTCAATGATAAAGTTTTAAAAAGCTCAAAATCATATAAAGCTAGTTCTTCGCTTGAAGGTGAACTTGCAAATGTGAGTTGCGATTATGCAGAAGTGGCTAATTGAGATAGTGTTATCTAAGATTCCTTAAAGACCTATAGGAGGGTGAAAGGTCGTCTTTGCTTGTTTCGTGACTGATCAAAATTGTCTGAATTATTTAACAGTTGAAACCAAATCAATCACACACAATTCAATGAAATTATGAAATAAAGCAAGTAAAGGAAAGAACACAAAGGATTTTCCGTAATCCAGAGCAAAGCAATCCACTATATCGAGGAAAAATTACCCCCACTTTGACTGAGTCTTACACCCATATCACCTTTGCCAAGACATTGACTGTCTCAAATTTACTCCTAGTTACAATTCTGAACACACGAGCCCAATTTCTGTAGACCTCCGACTCACTCCCAAAGTCTTGCAAACGAGCCATTGAAATTGAACACAACTAATCTTGTGAAAATAGGTTTCTGTTACAACAATGGAACAAAACCTTTCACCGGTACAATAGTGTTCTGGACAGAAATACTGAAAGTCCAGAAAGTATTCTTCCGTTATAAGAAAAATCCCCAATCAATGCAATTGTATTCTGTCCAAAATAAATTTAAAATAGAATCATACTGTACCAGTACATCAATACCTTCTATCAGTACAACTAATCTTGACATACAGTGTTTATCCAGAATACTTCTCTATTGGTACAAGAAATGGTTCTGCTGGTTCAATAACTGCTTGAAGACAGTTTATTTCCCGTAAAGAACTTTTTTCAATAATTCAGTAAAGTACCAACCTGAGGTCCAGATTAGTCCAAACTACCTTAGGTGCCTCTTACCTTTGCCAAATGTGATGAGCATCATGAATCAACATGTAAAGCTTTTTGAATTGGCATCCGTCTCCATAATGCAGTCTTCAAAGATGAATCTTGACAAAATGTCCGGCATAGACTATTTAGACGTTTTGTTCACACCCTAGGAATCATACTTTGGAACGGAACTTGCCAGCAATACAAATTTTATTATTCTAACTGCCAAGGTCTGCCATATGTTAATCTCAACATAAACATAATATGCTAGTTAATGTTCACATAAAACACATCCGATTAGGTTGATTTAGGTCAGCCTGGTTGTGACGGGAACTAAATGCATTTGCTTCATCGGCATCGTCATCGTCATCCTTGCCCGTATTCCGTATGGGATGGTGTCGACCACATAAATTCTCTCTTTCCATTCTTTCTTATTATATATTATGTCTTCTCATATTAAGAAAAAAAGAAAAGGATACTCAAGTTGCATTTTAAAATGATTATTATTCTTATTTTTGGTTGTATTATTGTTTGGAATTAGTTTCTAGTCCTCTTTAATCGGTTTCTTTAAACTTTCTTACTTGTTTTTGAAGGTTCGTCCCTTCAAAGTTTAATGAGATCTTCAACAAGCATGCACATACAAATGAAAACACTCTAACATCAGATGAATTAATGGGACTGCTGAAGGCGAATAGGGACCCCAAGGACTACGGAGGATGGTTTGTTATTTCCCTATTCAAAGTCATATAATTTAGATATGGTTTTCTTTTTCGTATGACAAAAATGTGGGGATTGAATTGCAGGCTTGCAAGCTACACAGAGTGGAAGATCTTGTATGTCCTTTGCAAGGACAAGTATGGTTTACTTCACAGAGAGACAATCAGAGCTGTTTATGATGGAAGCCTGTTTGAACAGATGGCTAAGGAGAAAGCTTCAGCTGGGAAACAAAAGTAATTAAAAATAGCAAAATTCCGATAATAATAGTTCAATTATGTTTTTACTTGTTGACGAAATGGTGAAATAAGCAATAAATGGTTATATTGGATCATTTTATTTTATTTTTTTATCTTTTTGATGCAGTGTTGCTTCTGTGTAAAAAAGGGCAGTTCATAAGATTGGCCCAGGTGGTTGGGTCCAGCAGGATGGATGGTTTTGGTTTAGACCCAAGCTTGCATGTGGGTGTAATAATGTTTAGCTATTGTAGAAGTGTTTGTTGATTGTTTCAAATGATATATTTATTTGATTACATGATATTTTCTTATGCATTTGAAATTTGTATGTAGGCAGTAGATTGAAGATTTAACTTAAAAAATGGCTGCATTGTGGAAGTATTTTTTTCAAAGAAGTATATTTGATTGTGTGTGTGTGTATATTCTAATGTGCTGAAACTTTATATATGTGGGATTGACGAAAAATGCCTGGTTACAGCCAAATGTTTTGTTTTCTTGACAAACCTTGCACTCGGGGGCATTTTGGTCATTTTACGTTCTTTTTTATTTTTGTTTTGGACCATGGTTGATGAGAAGACTCATTCGTGTTTTCGAAAATAAAACTGCTCGCAGCCATATTGATCTTACCAGGCACATTTTGGTAACTTTTTTGTAAAGTTTCAGAAATTCATATATTCTTCGTTCTAACTTCAAATCAAGTGATTTTTGAGTTCAAGTTTATTAATTTTTCATTGTCTATCCAATTGTATGCACGGTAGCATCCATTTCTATTCAAAATGACCATTTCACCCCTAGTTCAATACCTTATCTATTTTAAAACCCTAGCTTCCGCATTGTTTCTCTTGAGTCTCGTGAATTCTCGGGAAGTCACTTTGGCGTCTTAGAGGTGGTGTCCATCTCTAGAGACCCTTTCTCTTTTTCTTGCTTCTGCGTTTGGGATTCGTTTCAGTTTCGGGTTACTCGTTGACGCACCGGGTTTTTTGAAATTCAGGCCGTCACAGCTTTAATGAGTAGAGATTGAATCTTTGAATGAAAATACATCAATTAAGGTACCTTTTAAGTCCCAAGACCTTTTTAATGTATTAAGATTGAATCTTTGTAAGAAAATGAAAATTTTGAGTTAAACTTATTCGAGTTCCCTTTGAGGTCACGAAAAATGTTTTAATAAGTAAAGATTGAATATTTGAATGAAAATACCTCAATAAATGTACCTTTTAAGTTACTAGACCTTTTTAATGTACGTATAAATATTGAATCTTTGAAAGACAATGAGAGTTTTTAGTTAAACTTATTCGAGTTTCCTTTGAAGTCAGAAGTAGTGTTTTATTGAGTAAAGATTGAATCTTTGTATGAAAATACATCAATCAAGGTACCTTTTAAGTCACTAGACCTTTTTAATATATAAAGATTGAATCCTTGAAAGAAAAAGAGAGTTTTGAGTTAAACTTATTCAAGTTCCCTTTGAAGTCAAGAAGAGTGTTTTAATGGGTAAAAAATGAATCTTTGATTGAAAATACCTCAATCAAGGTACCTTTCAAGTCACTCGAACTTTTAATTGTATAATGATTGAATCTTTGAAAGAAAATGATAGTTTTGAGCTAAACTTATTCGAGTTCCCTTTGAAGTCACAAAGATTATTTTAATGAGTAATTCTACATAGATGCTGTAATGGCCTGAATTTCAAGAACTCGGAGCGTTAACGAGTAACCAGAAACCCTGACCCGATAGCGAGTCTGAAATGCAAAGGCAAAAACAAAAGAGGGGTCACTAGAGGTAAACAACACCTCTAGGACAACAAGAGAACCTTATAAGAGGTCACAAGACTCATCTCAAAGACAAAAGCGGAAGCAAAAGTTAAAACTGGCAAAATCCGTTAAACAAGGATAAAATGGTCATTCCACAAATAAAAAGAGAATTCTGGCTTTGAACAAGTCCAGTGAGGTCTATTCAACCTATTCTAATCATTACATAATTACAACTATTGATCCAATGTAAATCAAAACCGCACTCCTATCTTTCACCACAAACCATTAATTTTAACACCTCACTGAAAAATAAACAAACAACAGATTGGAAATTGTTATAATATATTATTACTATATTGTAGAATATATTCTAACCATGAATAGGTTTACCATATATGGTTTAGGTTTCTTACTCTTCACGCATCTCGTCACCTATATAAATCCCTATATATTTTCAAATCTTACACATCAATACAATATAGAGTTTCTCTCTTTCATATTTAACATGGTATCAAAGCCAAGTTCTCCGTCTTATTTATTTTTTATTTTTTTATTTTAAAGAGAATTGTGTAAGGCTTTCGCTGATTATGAACTTGAGACTAAAGGTGGGGTTGATCGCCGAAGGTTGACCGCCAGGGATGGGGCTGATGGTGCCATCCCTGACGGTGACTATGATAAACTAATAAGATTATTACCAGCAATCGAAAGGCTCTGATACCAAGTTAGAAATATATAGTTCTATACTTTTTCTTTATTTCTAACTTGGTATCAGAGCCTCTCGATTACTGGTAACAATCTTATCAGTTTATAATAGTCACCGTCGGGGATGGCACCATCAGCCCCATCCCTGGCAGTCAACCTTTGGCGATCAACCTTCAAACTTATGCTTCCGTATCCCAACCTTTAGTCTCAAGTTCATAATCAACAAAAGCATTATTTGGTTGCCCAATCATCCTCCAAGACACATCAACAACAGTGTCAACAGTAGTGCGTCACCTGCCACGACAGTTGCCATATATGTCAGACACAGCTAGCAGCAGTTCTAGCAGTAGTGCCACGTCAGTTGCCATGTCAGACACAGTCAGCAGCGGTGCCAGCAGTAGTGCCACGTCACCTATTAATCGTGTCTCCATCTTCATCATGGGTGAAAATTTCACCAAATCGCTTCCGCCATGCCGCTTTCAAAATCTTAATTATTTTCAAACTCAAGATGGTTTTATTCAATCACCTTGATTTTGAGGGGGGCTATTAGAATATATTGTAAAATTTATTATTACTGTATTATAGAATATATTCTAACCATGTATAGGTTTACCATATAGGGTTTAGATTTCTTACTCTCCACATATCTCATCACCTATATAAATCCCTATGTATCTTTAAATCTTATACATCAATACAATATAGAGTTTCTCTCTTTTATATTTAACAGAATTGAATTTGACATTTTAATTTTTAAAACAACAAATTAGAAACGATTTGGTTATATACTAGTAGAAGAATAAGCAGGAAAGGCAGTGGCATTGGTGGAAGTACTTGGTGGTGGTGGTGGCGATAGTGGAGGTGGTAGTGGTGTAAGGTAGTAGAGGCGGTTGAAGGCAATGGAGGCAGTTGAAGGCGGCAACAGTGGTGGCAGTGGTAGTGAAGGTGGTGAAAGTCAATGGAGGAAGCAGTGGTGAAATGCGAGGGTATTTTGGGAACATGAGGGTTTAGTTGCGGAATGAATTTTCATTCTAACGGAATGGTCATCCCTACTTTAAATTGCACACCAAACAAATGAATGGTTGAAATGTGCGTTCTATTCCATTCCATTCCTGCACGCTAAACATAACTTTAATGTTCATAGTCTAGCAAAATATTAAATAAAACAATTATTGGATTTTAATGTTCTTTGGCAGCAAGAAGTGTTGCTCTAGCATTACTTTTCTTTATTCAAATCTGTCCACCACTGAGTTGTGATGTAACTAATCAATTTTGCCTGCCTAACTCTTATTATAGATGAAAAAAGGGTGACATTATATATCATGCAAATATCTAGATTGAGTGGCGTATATACAATTATATAAAATTAAGAATTCCAGAAAGTAAGAGGCATAACTAGGACAAAAATAAATTAAAAAAGTGAAAACACATGAAATAATAGAGCCAATGAAAAGGGGTATTTCAATTCTGTCAAAATGATTGTGGCTCAAGTCTATATGACTTAGATATGGCAGGTCAAGCAAAGTAGAATAATTCAACTCACCTTGCAAGGATTCGGTTGGACTTTGGTTGTGTAAATCAAGAGCCATGACATGTCCTGTGGTGTGGTTGCATTTAACTTCTCTCCATTTGTAACAATCTGTTTCTTCTTTTACCACCCAAGAACCAATGCTTCCCAAGCTGAGAAATCCAATGACATAGTTACAAGTTGATGAAGGATCGGATCTATAATATTCCATAATCACCATGATGAATTGATGATTGATGAAGGCTCGACCTATAATATTTCATTATCACCATGATGATTATTTCACTATGTAATATATTCTCTCCCACTAGAATTTGCAATGCCTTCGTTGCAGTCTGCCCATTCGGATAGCGCACTCAGATACATTCGGGCTGGGCACTTGGCGTGACAACTAATTAAGTACCGGGTCTAGCTTTTATACCAATTATAACGGGTAAGTAATTCACGATCCAACTCAAAAACTTAAAGGGTAAATTGCAGTGACACTCTCTCAAGTTTGTCTAAAAGACAGGTAGATACAACTTAGGCCATTTTTGGACAGTGACACTTCCCAGGTTTGCTAAACCGAACAAAGACACCCCTTGTCAGCATTTTGATCCAAATAAGGCCATAAAATTCTTGAAAAGACAATTGCCCAGTAATATTTAATTGATTTTAATGGTAAAATATCATAATTGTGAAGTGATTTTTTGCCCTTCAATCAATATCAAGATTGTATCATGTCTGCATAGGGTTGTTTTTTGTTGCCTCTGTTGTATGTGCATTTGGGTTACTATATAGTGTTGTCCACGCTTTTGTTGCCAGTGGAGTATATTCGTCTGGCTTGTTGTATCCCTACTTGGGCTCTGTACATAATTTTATTTATATACAAGCTTACCCTTTCAAACAAAAAAATAAGAATAATAATAAAAAAATCATGTCCTCCATTTTTCTCTCTCTAACTTCTGCAAACTCATCTTCTTAGGCGACAACTTGGCCCGTGAAGTCAACGTTGAAGGCGAGGGAGGATTACGCCAGCGATGGTGGTTTGGCAGCCTTTATTTCCACTGCTGATTATCAACGGCACAGAAGAACAAGTAGAGTGACAAGAGAGAAGAAAAATGGAGGTTTCTCAAAGAAAGAGCCTGGTTTTGATCCACCTTCATCTGGGTTTGGTGAGCTTTTCAGATTTTCAAATGGGTTGGACCAGTGACGGACCGAGCATGGGACCAGGGGGACGGATGCCCCCTCCCCCGCGCCCCCCCCCCTGAATTTTTAATATTTTCATTTTATACCCTAATTTTTTTAAAATTTATGAAAATGCCCCCCTAAAATTACAATTTGCCCCCACTAAATTCTTT